TATCATTGCATGTATTTTTGTCTTTTTTCCCTTTTCCCAATAAATTGTATTTCTGACCTGGAGTTTCTCACTGGTTTTGCTTTCAAACCAGAACACAGGCTTAGCAGAGATTCTTGGTTTGACTTTGAATGCTATGCCAGGACAAACAGTACACCCTGATTTAGAAGAATAATTAGTTCTCTTCAGCACTGCATCAAGTATAATGTGTGGATTACCAACTCAGTCATCTCCATTTTCATCTTCTGGTGCTTTGGCCTAATAAGCCTCTCCCAGTCATACATTTCCCTTCATAAGTCCTACCTTACTTATAGGTAAGGTTATTTATATTCTCCTCACCCATTTCTGTGATAATCTTAAAAGAGTAAATGGGCTATCTTCCCTGCCAGTTCTGTGGAGTCTTACGTGTGGCTGAGCAATGTGCTGTCCATTATGGAAAGGAAATGTATTCGTTGCCACAGCTAACACAGCATGGAGATTAGTATTCTCTCCTACTTGCACAGGACCTTTGCGAAACCTGACAAATTTAATGAGATTCTATATGTAGCAGATTTACAGGAGGAACTTGTGTTTGCTTTTGAAATTCTGACTTTCTTACACTGGAAGGTCATTTAAATGTCTTTTTGGAATTATTGAAATATGTATTGATTTCAGAGGCTTTTATTATTTTCACTATTCTATGCTTGCCCTCTTTTCTGTCAATAGGTAACAAACTATACCTAGGTTTGGTACATTAATAAATGAATAAAGTGCACATAGAGATAGGCAAGATTACAATTATCAGGGAAGATATAGGTGAGAATAAAGCCTTATTAACACATTCCCACAAAAAACCCCAAAAAACCCAAACAAACCATCCTCCCTCCAAAAAACCAAAAAAAATCCAAACTCAAGAAATCCCCACAAAGTAACAATTTTTTAAAAAAAAAGTATAAAAGTGAACTAGCTGGGGAAGAATAAATGACAAAGATAGTTCTTCAGTACTGCCTATTACTCCATGAGATATCAGACAGCTCTCTTGCTTGGTACTTTTAGGAGATGGGACAAACACTGGTATGTGAGCTGGAGGAATCAGCTGTGCTGCTTGCAGATAGATGGGCTGCATGCCATAATACAATTTACCAGTGGAAAATACTAATGATTTTCACTTAGAGCCTTACAGAGTCACAGATGACAAGCTGTTATAGTGGAAGAAAGGCATCAAGGCTGCCAGAGAAACATGTTTACAATTTCTTTTCTCTAGGCTGTGAATGGCAAGTGGGAACATAGAGTTGCTCATTGTAAGAAACCCCATTTCCACCAACAGATATTTCCTCTTGGATGTACCGGGTTGTTCTCCTCTTCCTCTTCCTCCCTGGACCCCAGCACCTGCTGGCTGCCTCCATGCCTAGGCAAGGGGCAGCATAAAGTAGCCTTGGTGTCTTTGCAGGCTGCCTAGTTTGCATAGGTCATAAAAATACAGCATGGCATTTTAGCCCTGATCACAGAATCACAAAATCAGTTAGATTGGGAAGGACATTTGAGATCATCATTAGGTCCAACCTATGACCCAACACTACCCTGTCAAGTAGACCATGGGGCTAAGTGCCCCACGGTCAAGTCTCTCCTTAAACATCTTCACCGTGCTTCGTCTAGGACTTGACTGACACTGGTTGGAAGTGCAGTTTGTCTTTCATGCTTCAGATCAGTACATTTAAAATACTTCCCTGCTGCTAAAAGACCCCTAAGGAAATAAGCTGGTGCTTGTGTGTTAACTTCACCTCAGTGCAGCAGAGAGGGATGGTTTTAGTGCAAAATTAGAAATTGCACTGGTAAGACAAAGCAAAAAGATGAGCTGGAAACATTCTGGCACAATGCCATAATCATATCTATTACAGAGACACTGCAGATAGAATAAGGGAAGTGTAGAGGGAAAACAAGGCTGTTAGCTGAGAGTTGGTGTCTTCACGCCTCTCATAAATTGAGAACGTTCTGTATTGTGCCTTTCTTTGTTAGATGAAATGTATTTGTTATTTCAGTGTGTTCTAATGAGAAGAGATGTCTGTTTCAATAATACTACCTTCTCTCTATCTGTGGCAGCTAATGAATTAAAGAGGTCATTATGCTGGCTAGTCCATAAACATGATGACAAATTATGTGAAGAAGTGTTTAAGAGCAACCTTAAAATGTTTGAATGACATGCCTCACATTTATTTTCTTGCTACTTACAATAACCGTAGCATTCACAAATTTTACAAGGATAATTGAAATAAAACAAAATTAGAATTCTGCTTTAGGCAGGAAAATCTGCATTTAATACAGGTCATAAGTGGAAAAGTAATTAAATTACAGTAGGTTTTTTTAAGGATTCCTCTTCCTATATAAATATATATTGCAATTACTCTACCTTCACTGTGGTATGGTTAAAGTTTCATATCTAGTCTCTCACTTTCCACAGAAGCAAAAGCACGGCAAATAATTTGAGCTATATCTGCTGAACAAAATTTGCAGTGCATACGTTGTATATGTTTGTGTGTTTGGATATGAGTAATTTCAAGTAAATAGAAACATCATTATCATATTGTTCAAAGCAAAGCACATTTTTCTTCTCAGTCACCTTCTGATTTAAACACTGTAACTGGTGCTTAGTTTATGCTGGCTGGCTGCCAAGTGAAAGCAATTATGTGCAATAATAGCAAAGTTAAGAGGTGAGTGTTGCTGTTTTACAGCAGGACATGGCAAAACCCATTTCCTTCTGTCAGCTGTATCTTGATTACACACACACCATTACACAGGCAAGCTGTCTTACACGCACACATACATACGTGCACACATTCTTGTTCTTTGTCATTTGCAGTCTTTCCTGTGGGTTTTAACTTAAGGTCACTGAAACCAGAAAAGAGGAAGTATATAGACCAGAATGTTTGAAAGCAAATGAGAGTAAATGACTTACTTTGTGAGGGAAGGACAGGGGAAAAAGAAAAAGAAGAAAAAAAATAAAAGAGCAAAACAAAAAGCCTATCCCAATTATTGTTCTAACATATGATAATACTTTATTTTTCACTCACTGACAGGTGTCCTGGTAGTAAATGTTACGTGGAGGAACAAGACTTACGTGGGAACACTATTGGACTGCACAAAGCATGACTGGGCCCCTCCTAGGTAGGCAAACATTCTGAGTCTGTTTTTTTTCTCTGCTGTATTTTAACCCCTCGTTGCAGGCAAGAGACTGTGCAGAGATTAATAAAGCACAGCTGGTTATAATTGAAAACATGCACAAGTGAAATGAGTAGTTTTCTCTTACAGAGTGAAACGTGGGGTGGGAGCTCTTCTTTATTTTACTTTTGTATTTTTTACAGGGAAGGGGAAATACATGAGATTCAGTCAGAGAGCAGTTGATTTCAAAATGCATTTCTTTAAGTTAGAAAGATTTTTCACTCCATTGTTCTAATCAGGTGCTTACCAATGGTCCTTACCATTTTTGTCCTTTTTTAATGACTTTGCCTTTGATACTGTAGCATTCTCATTTGTCAGAAGAATATCTTTCCTTTACCATATGTGAATTTTCTCTTGTGGGACATGGTGGTGGCTTTTATTTTTTCAATTCAGGCTCCTGCTGATGAAATCTATTGTTTGTACAGGTTTTGTGAATCACCAACAAGTGACCTGGAAATGCGTGGCGGACGGGGCAGGGGAAAGCGGGCAAGATCTGCTGCAGCTGTGGCTGTACCTGGGAATGATGCGAGTTTTGCAGAGTCCAGAGGACTTCAGAATAAAAATCGAGGCGGTGCCAATGGGAAGGGGAGGAGGGGCAGCCTTAACTCGAGTGGGCGCAGAACACCCCCAAACTGCACCATGGATGAAGTCAAAGCCAGCCCCTTGTCCACAAACAAGAGGAAAACTAAGCCTCCTATGGAGCTGGATTTGAACTCCAGTTCAGAGGACAGTAAGTCTGCAAAACGCATCCGTACTAACTCTAGAAGCACTCCCACCACCCCACAGGGGAAACCCGAGACTATTTTTTTGGACCAAGGCTGCTCTTCCCCAGTGCTGATTGACTGTCCTCACCCCAACTGCAACAAGAAGTACAAGCACATTAATGGATTACGCTACCATCAGGCTCATGCACACTTAGACCCAGAAAACAAACTGGAGTTTGAGCCTGACAGTGAAGACAAAATTTCAGACTGTGAGGAGGCACTGAGTAATGTGGCACTTGAATGCAGTGAGCAAAGCACAAATTTGCCAGGCTTTGATCCACTAAAAGCACCAACATCTCCTTCTTCCATTGCTACCCCAGGGACTCCCAAGGGAAAGAGGGAACTGACCAGCAATGGCCCTGGTTCAGTTATCAGTTCCAAAACTGGCAAGAATTCTGGCAAAAAGAAGGGTCTGAACAGTGAATTGAGCACCCTTCCAGTAATTTCTAACATGGCAGCCACACTGGATAATTGCTCATTAGCAGATGGCAATTTGCAAACTGAAATGCCAAAATTGGAAGCTGAAGGGTTAATTGACAAGAAGAATTTGGGTGATAAAGGTAAGAAATCAAACAATTGTAAAATGGATAAAAACCTTTCCAAGCTGAAAACAGCCAGACCCATTGCCCCAGCACCAGCACCAACTCCTCCCCAGTTAATAGCTATACCTACTACAGCCTTTACAACCACCACTACAGGGACAATACCAGGACTGCCCTCTCTAACAACTACTATTGTTCAGGCTACACCAAAGAGCCCTCCACTGAAACCCATTCAACCAAAGCCCACAGTTATGGGAGAGCCAAGCACTGTAAATCCAGCTCTCACATCACTCAAAGACAAAAAGAAAAAGGAGAAGCGCAAGCTGAAGGACAAAGAAAGCAAAGAGATGGGCAGCCCTAAGATGGATTCTAAGCTAGGGAAGCTGGAGGATTCAAAAGGGTCTGGAAAAGACTTATCTGGACATTTTTTAAAGGACCATCTCAACAAGAATGAAGTGCTAGCTAATGGACTGTCAGAATCTCAAGAGAGCAGGATGGCAAGTATTAAGGCTGAAGCTGATAAAGTTTACACATTCACAGACAATGCGCCCAGCCCTTCTATAGGGAGTGCCTCCAGGATGGAATGCAGCACTTTGGTGAATGGACAATCTGCCATGGCCCCACTGCATGTGTTGACACAGAATGGTGCAGACAGCACAGCCACTAAAACCAACAGCCCTGCTTACTCAGATATTTCTGATGCAGCTGATGATGGTGGCTCTGACAGCAGGTCAGAGGGCATGAGGTCAAAGGCCAGCTCTCCATCAGATATTATTTCTAATAAAGATGGTGTTGTAAAAGGACATTCTTCAACCACAGCACAATCAGCTCAAGCAAAAGAGTCTCATTCTCCCTATTACCATGGCTACGATCCTTACTATTCCCCAAGTTACTTGCACTCTGGACAGGTCAGTGCCCCAGCAGCTGGGAATAGTGGTACCCCACAGGGGCTGAAGATTAAAAAAGAGGCTGAGGAAGAGGCTGAAAAGAAAGAGAAGGCAGAATATTCAGATGCCAAGAAAAGTGAAAGCACTTCCTCTAATTTGCCACCGCAACATCAGTCAGTAATAACTCAAAGACACCCTGCACTTGCTCAGTCACTTTATTATGGACAGTATGCCTATGGGCTCTATATGGACCAAAAGTCCTTAATGGCCTCCAACCCTGCTTACAGGCAGCAGTATGAAAAATACTATGAGGACCAGAGACTAGCAGAACAGAAAATGGCACAAAATGGGAGGGACTGTGAAAGGAAGAATGACCCCGCCTTGAAAGAGACTGGGAAGGATGACAACAAGCAGAAGAATATTCCATCTGCCACAATATCAAAGGCCCCTTCAATTCCAGAGTCCAGCAAAAACAGCACTAAAATAGGGTCATCAGTTCCTAACAAAGGTGAGGAGACAAGCAAATCACAGATCCTTTCCAAACACCAGCAGCAGCTTCAATCTGACACTTTCAAAGCCAAACAAATGGAAAACCACCAGCTTATAAAGGAGGCTGTGGAGATGAAATCTGTTATGGACTCAATGAAGCAAACAGGAGTAGATCCAACCACAAGATTTAAACAGGTGAGATCACAGGAAATGGAACAAGAGTGTCTTAGTTTCATCTTTTAGGTTGTGAAATTTTCTTTCTGATTCTGCTACGTTCTTCTACCTCTGCAGCCAAACAAGTTCCACCATAATTTTTTCATGCTGGATTGTATTGTAGTCTGTGAATAAACAAATAAACCTTCCAGTTGAGCTGTTTGAAAAGAACAAAAAAATAAATTAAAAAGTCTAGTTAGGTGGTGACAGAGCACAGGCTTAAGATCTGAACAGACTATTTTAAATTCTATGTATGAATAAAATAGAATTAGATTTCTCTTTTAGATCTAAATTCTAAGCAGTTTGTTTAGTTCAGAAATGAGAAACTTCAAGCAAAATAAGCAGCTTTCATTATGAGAGGACTTAAACTACATTTGATACATGGTTTGAAGTGTTTCTTTTTTTTTGTTAAATGACGGCATTTACTAAAGATGGGTGAGGTGCTTCTTTGAAGAGTTGGCTTAAAGCACAGCTCTTTATCTTAACCCATGGTGACCTTTCTGAAGCAGTTAAGTTCCCCTTCTCTTGTCAACCAACCTCAAGCCCCTACAGACCTACACAATGGATGAAATCCTCTCTTCATTGAAGTCAGTGATAGTTTTGCCATTTACTTCAGTGGGACCAGAATTTTATCCAGTGGCTTCATGCTGGCCCTCGTAGATGGCACATTGCCTTCATTTGAGGCAATGCAACTGTCTCCGTGCTCTGAACTAGAGCCTTAATCCTTGATGCTTTTATGTTCTGGTGTTTGGTACATCCCAGACTTCACCCTTACAGACTGTCTTTCAAGGTACAGTGGGATGAAGGGAGTGGGAGTAGAGAGTTCTAAAGGAAGTGGGATGGTACAGCCCTAAGTAGGAGAAGATTTCTGCTGATTCAAGTATTTGAACCAGTCTGTCCAAGCATTTAGTTGTATGCTTATATTTCTGTGGCATGTGCCATAAATGTCTGTCAGTTGAAGAAAATCTTGACAATTAACTCTTGCATATCCTGTATTGGAAAAAGAAGTCTTCCTGTTACTTCTTGTACTGATTTGGTGTGGTGTTGTGAAGAACTCCCCTCTCTAGTTCTGTAACATGTTTATAAACTGGTCTGTATAATACATTTTTTATAAAAGCATTTACAGTGCCCAGTACATGTTCTTTAAACCATGGAATCCTGATCCAATAAATACTCACCCACCTGTAACTTTACAAACTTAAAATAAGATTGTCAGCTGAAAAGGTTTGCTTTAATATTTTACTTCCACTGATTCCTGGATGTTTGTAATACTGGAGGCAGCATTAGAATCTTGCCAGCTAGATCAGCTTTTCATGTTCATTGTTCCAGGTATTCTAAGTAGTCTGGCATATCATTAACCAGCTCTAATTTTGTGGTTCACAGATACTTTTTGCTCTCTAATGGGAAAAGTCTCTCTGTAGGCTTTAATTAAAATGTTTTATGAATAACATGGTCTCAGAACTTCATTTACATTGCACATATATTTCATGATTAAACTAGTTAAAGGCATGAAGAAGGATATAAAATAAAGCAATTGAATTAAATTTTGATAATAGATTCTTGCTCCTTCATGGGCATATTGGTTTGACTTTGAGCTTGAGGCACTCTGTGGCAACCTCTCCTCTATGTAATGAGGATATGGTATTAAAACAGCTATTAAAAATACATTAACTGAAACATGGGAAATATCAATAACAAACTTAGTTCTATTTCTAAGTTCAGAACAATTTTTTTCTCCTTTTTATTAGGATCCAGATTCACGAACATGGCATCATTATGTTTATCAGCCCAAATACCTTGATCAGCAAAAATCAGAAGAATTTGATCATGAGAAAAAGTTAAAAGAAGACAGCCCTAGAAAAACACCTAACAAGGAAAGTTCCCTGCCTAACCTTCCTGTCTCATTAGCAAGCATTAAAGAGGAGCCCAAAGAGGTCAAGCGTTCTGATTCTCAATCAGTGGATGAGAGCAAGATAAAAAACGATGATCAAAAGACTCCTGTAAATTGGAAGGACTCTCGGGGTGCTAGAGTAGCAGTTTCCTCACCAATGAGTCAGCATCAGTCATACATCCAGTACTTGCATGCTTATCCGTATCCACAGATGTATGATCCCAACCATCCAGCCTATCGCGCAGTCTCTCCTGTCCTAATGCACAGCTATCCTGGTATGTATTCTAAAACCCACCTTGCGCACTAGTTAAGATTTGCATCCTCAGGTTCAGTAAAGCCTGCATTTTAATATTTCTGTTAGTAGCTAGGCTAAATTAGAAGCTTCATGGGTGACGTTGTATTTGCTTGTGCTTCCACTGGGGCATGTTCTGTAGATTAAACTGGTTTAATACAAGATGTTCCTTTTATGAACTCTTAAGTTGCTCAACACTTGACAGTCTACTGTTGCTGTTAGTCTGACAGATAGTTTATTGCCTATAAAAATATTCTAAGAACTTACTGTCAGAATTATTATAGTTACTATTCCTTTTACTTAAAGAGGACCCATAAATGTCTGAAATGGTTATCAACTCAACCCTCTTTATAACCTCCATTCATCAGGGTAAATTAGGTGATGAAACTGAAGAGCAGTCATGCCATTTGGTAGTAATGTGATCTACTTTTGATGTAATTGTCGGTTCTGATATTCTCTCCTCCTACCCAGATATAATCAAAATGTAAAAACAGTAACTTGATGTGGTATTTATTGTTTATCTGCAGGGGCCTATCTCTCTCCAGGATTTCATTATCCAGTTTATGGGAAGATATCAGGGAGAGAAGAGGCAGAGAAGGTCAATACCAGCCCAAGCATCAATGCAAAATCAACCACTGAGTCCAAAGCACTGGATTTGCTCCAGCAGCATGCCAGCCAGTATCGCAGCAAGTCACCTGTTGTAAGGCTTTGTCCGTTCTTACTGGAGAGTGTTACATACGGGGTGGGGAGAGGAAAAACATAATTGTGGGAAGCACACAATCTGGCATCAAGCTATGAGTGCATGATTCTTCTTTATAGTACTGCTTACAATAAAAGCAGTTTATAGTCAGAATGCTTCTGTGGCATAAACTGGAGGTAACACATCTAACACAGTTCTGTGCTGAGGTTTCTTGTCTTGACTAGACTCATATAGAAATACAGATTCAGAAATGCCTCCTGGTGCACAGATTTTTGCAGTTAGACAGGAACCTCCTGTTTGGAAACATAATGAAATGAGAGGTTGGGCTATGGATTTTGATAATAACCCCTCCTTGTATTTGCCAAGAATCTACATCTAAATAGCTGATTACCAGCCCCCATTTCTGAAGATTTATAAACAAGATTTACAAAGTTGGGACAAATACTGCTATTTTACTTTCAGATTTGTTGTTGCTGGTTTTAGCTGTGAGAAAGTCACTGGCTCTCATTCTGTTTTCTAAGAGATTTTTCTGCTAATCAGATTCCCAGAAAGCTTTAGAAGGTTGAGCATTTTCAGCAGCTTACCTAGGTTGTTTAGGCATTGGCAAGCCAGGCGAGCTTCAGGGAATGCAAAACTAGAAGTCACCATGGTGTCTTCAAGATGTAGTGCATTGCCTCAAAGTCTTTGTGCATTGGGAAATCTTCCATTATCCAGAAAGATTAGCTGGAGATTAGAATCAAGTGCAAATAATCCGGTAGAGATACTTCTTCCGAAAAAGTGAGATACATCATTTGTATTCAGAAAGTTTTGACAGTAGTGGCACATATTGTTGTTGTGATTTCATCCCTTTTAAAGTTCTCACATCAGTTTTCTTTCACTTTCTGTTACTAGCCTGTGGAAAAATCACCAGCTGAACGTGAGCGGGAAGCAGAAAGGGAGCGAGACCGCCATTCTCCTTTCAGCCAGCGGCATCTCCATACCCACCACCATACACATGTTGGAATGGGCTACCCTCTTATACCTGGACAGTATGACCCGTTTCAAGGTGAGCAGAAAATTGTCAGTGGGTGGGATTAGCTTGCCTTATGGAATTGTTGCCTTGACACTGGAAATTGTGCCTACATTAAGCATTTTGAATAGACAGCCTGCTGTTAGAACAGAAGTGCTTTACATTTAGGAAGAAGGCTTGAAAATCCACAGCATGTACTAGCAATAAATTAATAGCTTCATGTCTGAGAAATACCAAGTTTTGTTTCCCAAACTGGGTGTCAGAGCTTTATTAAAGATGTACCAGTTAGGCTGTCATCCACATGAATGTTTTGATTCCTCCTGCAAAATGACATTAACTGGCTGAAAGGCAGTAAAATATCCAAACCAAACAACCTCCTTTTTGTATAATTAGGGTTGTGTAAGCAATGGGGGAAGTGTAGCAAAAACAAAAGCTTTTTATACTGAACATATTTTATGTATAAGGCATTGCAGTCACAAGGGTTTGTGCTTGTTATAATTTGACTGTTTGAAAGGGGACTCTTTGTATTTTGGCAAATGCCGTGCACAAAGTTGCAGTCAGGGAAAAAGCAGTATAGTAGGATACAATTTATTCTCCCTAGGTTTTATACTGATCTTTGAATGTTTTGTCTCTAACCATGACTCTAGCTGAATTAAAAGGAGGCTTCCTCCCATGCAGCAAAGCATGTGCTACCACAATTGGTGGCTAAATGGCATTTCTTCTTTACATTGACTTGGTGCCTCAGCAGTTATTTTTCCTGTGTAAAAGTCTCAACATTTCTCAGTGTGATTCAGTGATCCTATATGCCTTTTGGGATGCATTATGCTTATTCAGTAGCAAAACTGTAAAAATGGTAAGTTATTATGAAAGTATTGTATCCTGAAAAGCTAGCATGTTGTTTCTGTAATTCACTGTGACTTTTGATTCTTCTTGTTTCCTGACACTTATTATTTCTACTGAGCTTCCTATTCATGAACTCCCGTACAAACCACTTAGTATCATGTAGTGCAGTATTTGGACAAGAATGCAGTTAGTAGAAATGCTGTAGTTTCTTGTAGAATATGTATCAAAGACAATTCAGTTTATTACAGAAAGGTATATTCATCAGTATTCCTTTGTTTCTTCTTTCTCACAGGATTGACCTCTGCTGCCCTTGTTGCCACTCAGCAGGTGGCTGCACAGGCATCTGCATCTGGTATGTTTCCTGCACAAAGAAGGTAAATGGCCAATAAATTATATATTGTAACATAGAGAGGAGAAAGCAAATAACAGATTTTTTTTTAGCCTGCTGGTGTGCATTTCATTGTATGACACAGTTTTTAAGGTTGAGAAAAAACTTGGTACTCTGGGTTACTTGCACTTTTGTTCTCCTTAGAATGACATTTTGTCCTTAGTTGTGTTCTTTAATTGTAACATAGGTCATTAAGAACAAGTCTTCAGAGATTTTCCATAGAGTGTCTTTTAAGGATTGGTATTAAGATAAAACAAGAGATTATTAAATATAATTTATGAGATCCAAGTTTTTAATAAAATGAGTTTAAAATTGTTCAGTTCAGTTCAGTTGGCTTCATGCATGACCAGAAAAATTTAGGATTTTATCTATTCTGCAAGTCTGCCTGGCTTGCTTATCTTGTTTTTAGAGAGGTTTGTTTGGGAGCCCATGAGACATGATTTTGTATTTAAATTGCACACCCATGTCATACATGCCATACATTGGTATTCAACTTAATGCCATACATGAAGTTGTATACTCATGTCAAGCATGTCATTACATACCTGAAAGCCTCTCAGTTGTTTACTTGTTTGACAAGAGTAAAACTTCTGCACTATGATGTTCCCATATCAAGTGAAATTTCCAAAGCATCTTTTAACACTAGGGTTTCATTCACTGCTGCCATGTTAAGGCTCAGAGTTTAATGTATCAGATAGAACTGTGAAGTTCCATCTTCCGGGTGTCTGTCTGAAAGTTGATGCTGAAACAAACAATATATAGCTAGAATTATTTGAATAAGAAAGGTTTGTAGCCCTGGAAGAGCATATGGATGATAGGTATCAGCACTCAGAAGAAAAATCCTGGAGCAGGTTACTTCTCAGGATGTTGTTCCTGTCAGGGGAGGGATGAGGACAGGGCTTGCTGCCTTTTCTTCTTGGGTTTGAGAATACTTGTACAGATTTCATTTCATGATGCATTCAAGGTGCAGGAAAAAAAATATAAGGAAAGGATGCTGCTTACTAAAACCTTCTTCTTTTCTCTTTTCAGAGAATGATGAATTTGGGGATGAACATTGTCATGTGACTAGATCACATGAGGAAGCGCTTTATTACAGACATCAGTTCCATGGTGTTAATTTGAAATGCCTTAATGGCAGGCAAAAACCAGTCATTTCATTTTTGTAAATTGCAGATTTTATCACAGAGTAACAAATGTTGCTGTAATTAGACTTCTGTTTTTATATATATATATGCGTATATATATATATACATATATATATAAAAATATATATATTCTTTACTTTTTTGTATCAGTACCAAGGCTCGCACACAGGGTCTGCTGCTAAGTTGCGAACCACACACTAAATGGAGATATGTATTTGTCATGTTTAGAAGGCGTTAACCGCAAAAGGCTGTTAGTTTCTTTTCTCTTCTTCTTCCTATTCTTTTTCTTCTCTCTTTTTTCCTTTCCAATTGTAAATAAATAATGTTATGTATCAGTGTGCCTGAACCTTGCATACCCTTCTGGTATTTCCCACAAGCTCTCAGAGAGGCTAACTTTGATGACACTTTGGTACAATGTAGATGTCTATTTGATGATTCCTATTGAGATGCATCAGTGTAAAATGTTACTGTATTCACTGTTTCATTGTAATTGTGTATTGTGAAAAATATACCTTTGGAAGGCATGGGGATTCTAGTACCACAAAAACTGTGTTGTATATAATGTATAGATTTTAAATGGAGATAATGAGCATTTGTGAATAAGGAAATGTCTTTTTTGATAATCTTGAATGGCAGATAACCTAATAGCCTGCATATGAGAAGACATCTGTGATTGTTCTATTACTTGAATAGTCCTGCAGTCTTTGTTTTTAATGTTTACAATTACTCAAATTTAGGAGAGACTTTAATGCCATTACCTGTTTACTTGTTTTAGGCTGTAACCTAGTTTATTTTATGTAAAACCTATATCAAATGCTTTCATTTTTTTACTTGTTGTAAATAATTTGGCAATCAGAATAATGAAAAACTTTGAATTTTTAATTTTTTTTTTTTTTTTTTTTGGGTATTTTTGAGCCACTCTGAAGGATGTGCCATAAGTGTAGATAGCAGAGGGTGCAGCAAGGGCACAGCTCCTAGTCATGCTCCTGCTGGGCCTATGCCATTTTTTCTCTCCCAGTGGTCAATGCAGGGTCCAAGCCAGATGGCAGATGGACCTTTTTCTGTTGACCCTGATAGGCTCAAAAAAAAGGCCAGTGGTAACACTTTGAATGGTATTAGTGGAACTGAAGTCTCTAATACCTGTTTTAAAGCAGCTCTGTATGCTATAATTTATAGGCAATTTTTTTCCTATTATATCTGTATTGCCCTTCCATCCAAAAATTAATAGATGCCTAAAAACAGAGGACCTATCAATTAAAAAAAAAATCCTTTGCTGTGTCTAACCTGCATTACCGTAAGATAAATATTTTCTGTGGCTATACCACCTGTTTTGTTACAATGCAGTTAACACAGTACACAATAGCATGACATCACTAATCATGATATGAAAAAAAATCAAATTTACTGGTCAGGTTTTTGAGGCTTTAACTATTTTCCTTTTCTGCATATCCTGGTTACATTGATTGTCAAAACTGGTTTTTAAAGTTTTACTGGTTGTTTTTATTTTGTGTTTGTTGGGTTTGTTTTTTTTTTTGTTTTTTTTTTTGGCAGGGTGATTTTTTTTTTTTTTTATTTTTTTTTTGAAGTTGGTTCCATTTCTTCTACCTTGTGAATACTTAATACAGAAGGATGAATTAAAGATTCCCAACAGACAAGCACACTTGGACTTTTATATTACTATGATGAATCTGCCATTAATACTGCTATAATTGTTTTATTTTTATAGGCATAAAATCAGTTCCCTTAGTGAATAGTTATAAGGTTTATTGATTTTTATTACACATCATTCATCTGTGGCTTACTATTATTGTCTTGTTCTGAACACATCCAGAAGTCTCACAGTGGTAACATACTACAAGTTAGCCTCATTAAAAAATGGGAAGGAAGGGATGTTTTCTTTGAAAAAGGGGATATTGTGAATGCAGGGCTCTTGAAATAATAAATGCCTTATTACTTCTATAGTAAAGGCTCAGATGGCTTTTGTGTTGAAACATACCATTGACTTTTGGTTTTTCTCCCTAAACCATTAATGCTACCACAGCAAAATAGTTCTTACAAATTCACACTGTTAGTGATTTTTAGTGTGTTTGAGTGTCATAACTGGAATGAATTAGTCTGATTGACACAGGGTAAGCAACAGTTAAAATTACAATTAATGTTATAGTTTTACTGTATCCTTGAAGTCTGTAAGAGTGGCTAACATCTCTTGCCATTTATTGTCTTCCTCCACTTAAGATTATTATGTCTAGCACCTAGCTTCATAGCCTTCTTTTTGGTTTAACACTTGCCATACTGACCTCCCTAAAGGCTGAGCCACAGTGAGTATCACTCTCTGGTTGAGCATTCCCCAAAGCCAAAGGGTACTCGCCCACACATCTGAGCACTGATGTGCAGCTGCCTAAGTCATTTCACCACTGTGTGAGGATCCAAAGGAAGAGCAAACTGAAGCAGTAATACAATTTATACACCTGGGAACTAAGAGCTGTAGAGGCTGATCCCTGAAAAGGGGCAGCAGAAGCATCATGATACAGATACATTTACACTCACTTTTCCACATGATCGGATTATACTTTTTGCTACCTCTAGCTCACCTGTACCACCCTGCCCTTCCAGCAGCAGCTAGCTTCTGTCTTTCATCCAGACATTGCTGGATGTCTTGCAAAGGTGGAGCAGGTCTTATGCAGTACACTCATTTGAGTTTCTAAGTCTGTCCATGTAAATGCAGCTAGAGAAATGAAAGGTCTGTCAGTGCAAGCCCATCACACAGACTCAAAAACCCAGCCGGGGACCTACTCTTGTGATGTTTGCAGGGGGAGAAAAATAGATGTGGACAGCAAAGGAGGGTGGGGTGCTTTTTGAGCTATCATGTAGCTCTAGGGGCTGAAATAGAAGAGAGGTCTAACCAGCCGAGCTGGCTGACTACCAGGGCTAGCCAGAGCTGGTGAAAATGGGGGCTAAGAAAAACATAACTTCAGTTTTGTAATTTTAGAATTCCCTGGTGGCCTTGGGGAGCACCTGAGAGGTCACAAAGCTAATTCTGCGCCACACATCCCCTCCTTGCTTCTGATAAATGCACTGGTTGGGCTTAACCATTTGGTTTTGAGTTACACTTGTCACTCTGCTGTCAGAACAAGGACCCCCAAAGGACATGAATTTAGAGAATCCCTGAATCCATCCTAAAACACACACGAGGGATTGTGGATATTGGCATAAACAAAGGACACTATAGTCCCCTTCTACAACTCTCCACCTTGGTTCTTCTCAGAGAACCAGTGAGTCACGTAGGCAGTCTAATTCATATTTCATTCCTGGCATCAGTCTTGTCAGTCACAACTGACAGAAGTACTGCCCTCATGTTTCTGTCTCAGAATCTCACTCTAGTGTTTGCTTGCCACTCTCTCTCCTCTTTTCTCCTCTCCCCTCTCTGTGCCACTTGCTAGTTTAATGAGCTCTCTTACATCTATCTGATACCATCAAAACTCTATTTGCACATCTAAAAGCTTTCTGCATACATTTGTAAGTTTGACCCTTGACTTGTTCTCTCTTTCCTTTTATCACAATTCATCCGTTGACCTGCACCTTTATCTTAGTCTGTATTAATGTCTCTTGCCTCTATTTAGCCTACAGTGTTTGGGACAGAGAACATATTTCACTTCAAATTCATACACTGCAGTTATATTTATAGCTATCTCTTAATAATAGCAAGAGCCGCTCATAGAGGATAGTGCAAGATACCATGGGTAGCTATGACACGCCACTGGTTAACAAGGAACCTAAGGTAACTAACAAAAAATGTTACAGTTTTCAAAGGTATTTTGAAACCATCCAGTGACTTGAAATTGTGAATGATACAAAGTCCACATAGGAAGTCTGAGCCTTTATCTCCCTGCATCAGAGGGAACTGGAGACATACAGTCATTACTTAATATGCCAGCTTTGTTTTGCTTTAGAAAGAGAGTTCTGGTTTCACTTTCGGCACTTCATGTAGCTCTCTGCCCTAAACACCCTATAACATTACTGTGAACTACAGTTCTTCCTTGGGAAGATTTCTTTTTTTCTAGGTCTGTATTTCCTAAGTTCTCTAGATTCAGCCTTTTTGCCAAGGTTGGCTTTTTTTCTTTTCCGTCTCTTTTTTTTTTTTTTTTTTTTTTTTTTTTTTTTTTTTTTTTTTTTTGTCATTATTTCTTTTTTCTTTTCTTTTGGAGGGGGTAGAATCTCACTGTAACCAAGAAATGCAAGAGGTTTTCATTAAGGAGAGGAGACATCAGGTGAAGTTGTACACATTCCAGTGGTGGGGAGATAGACACCCTGTAAAATTCTTATACTAGCTTTTAGTAATTTCTGTGCAACACACACTAAATAAGGCTTTCAAATTCAATTGCAACTCTGAAATTTCTCATCTGGACTGATAAATTAGCAAGCTTAAAGGTTTAGCAAAGGAAATTATTACTTGCAGCCTAGAAATATTTGTCATGAAGAAAACTTAATCTCCATTTTAACACAATAGAAAAATGTTCTAGGGCTATGAAAGTGTAGATTTTGTTGCAAACAAATGAATTCCTGCAGACCTAGCTGATACCTGTAATTCAGTTCCAGTAGCCTCACAGATGTTTCCACAGTAGCGTGGCCATTTTAGCCACGGTATAAAGATGTATGCTAATTAATTATATGGTATCTATCATTTGAGTTAGCTGACAAGAGGAGCAGCAGCTTGCTGGCTGCTTTGGGCATAATGCTACAGGACATCCTCTTGAAAGAGTGCAGCAATGCCTGATAAAAATTAGATCAGTAGGCAAAGGCTCTCTGAAAGCCTGTTTAAACCCTTAATACAGAAGACTGATTTTAAAGCGTCCATCTCGACAAGTAAATGACTTTGGTTCTTTTAATTGCTTCCAAGGCCCTGAGGGTATTACCAAGCCTTGGTCTGCCTGCCCAGCCTCCCACAGAGCTTCCTCTTCCCACCCTTTCTCAGTGGCCCTGGACTCCCATTTCAGTCTGTTCATCTCTGGCTCAGGGATATAGATGCCTTGGGCTAGAGCTGTACCCTAGCAGTCTTTCCCCTTTGCTAGGGTTAGGGGGGTGGGACATGCCAAGCTCCAGGAGCCCCCAGCCTTGGCTGCACCTTTAGAATTACTAAGAATGTGCAGTTTCTGCTCTTAAGGGATTTGTGTTTGGGCTGTTTCTTACAGAATGTTATGCAGGGAAAGAGCTTTGGTAAGACCCCTGCTAATATTTTTTAAAATAGACAAATATAAAGAGGAATTTTTTCTTTATATGTTTCAAATCAAACAGTGGAAATGAGGTGTGGAATAAAAAGCCTCAGACTTTGGTAAGACCCCTGCTAATATTTTTTTAAATAGACAAATATAAAGAGGAATTTTTTCTTTATATGTTTCAAATCAAACAGTGGAAATGAGGTGTAGAATAAAAAGCCTCAGACTGAAGAGCCCTTGAATAGTTAACAGCCACCATGAAAAATTAGTCCTATTTTTTTTTTTCCTTATTTTTTAGCCCATCTTTCCTCAACAGTATAAACTTGTATTTGGGAGTCCAAGTGACACTAGAAGTCACGTGAGGATACAGGAGCACTTTTTTCCTCTCTCCTTCCAGTGAGAGTGACTGAAAGGGACAGTTAGTTTTAAAAGGAACTGGCTCTTAATACACATACTCAAACTAGGCACCTTCTGTATACAGAACATGTTTATCATTAATGAGCTCCCTATTCAGCAGTGGTCAGCTCTGCTGCCTGCTTCAGCAAGCTACCTTCTTTTGAGGTTCTGTTCTGCAGAAGAGAGTGGGAGGAACCACATCATGGGCTACATGGACTGCAAAAAGAGCAGAAATTTCTGCTTTTCCTTTGCTTATAAAAACCAGAGCAAGGCTTGCTTTTTATAATTTCCTTTTGTTCATACCTTTCCCCACTCTGTCACTAAGTCAGCTTAAGTATTTGCAGTGATGAGCCTCATCAAGCCACTGATTTTCAAGTACAGCTCCAGACAGAAAAGGTCATTAAAATGTCAATGACAACATGTTCCATGCCGTGCATTGGAACACAACAATTCAATACCAAGCTTTACTACAAGTATCTGCAGCCCTAATTTATTATCTTCTTGATTGAAAAGAAACTGATTTACTTGAACAGAGAAAGCATAGAATCCTAAGACTCTAAATGACTTGTGGCTTTCCTGAAACCAGTTGACCACTTTCCCTTTGATCTGTCAGGAGTCTGTCCCCATGTTTGGATTTATTTTCCCAAAAAAGTTGTA